TGTCTGTCTGTCTGTCTGTCTTTGTTTCTATCTCTTAAAGTCTGTCTGTCTCTGTCACTGTCTCTGTCTCAGTCTCAGTCTCAGTCTCTCTCTCTCTCTCTCTTTCTCTCTCTCTCTCTCTCTCTCTCTCTCTCTCTCTCTCTCTCTCTGTGTCCGTCTGTCTGTCTGTCTGTCTGTCTGTCTGTCCGTCTGTCTGTCAGTCTGTCTGTCTGTTCTTTTCTCTGCTGACTAACTACTATTCTTCATTGTCATTTCTCCAAGCAAGGAGCTCGTGGGTGTTTCTACCACAGCTGATTTTTCCCACGAGTCCAGTCCGCTTGCGCTTGATTGCAAAAAACCTATCAGGACAATCTGTTCCACAAGAGGATCGGGAGCTTAAAGGAGCAGTTTCGAAAACAACAACATCAAAAACATCCCAATTTCTTTTTCCTGTCCTGCACATGACCTTACTCAAGTGCACCCACCCCCACAACATGGCTTCGGAGATATCAAATGAAGTCTAGCACACGTTCATTGAATTCACTAGGGAAAGACAGTCTTTGTTTATGACATTTCAAAATAACATAGAACAAAAAAAACAACCAAAAAAAAAAAACCCCGCAAAAAACCCCCAACAACAACAAACTTGCACAAAACAAAACATGTTGTAGAATGAATGTCTTTGTAAGTGTCCGCTTAACACTCTCAGTCACACTGTCGCTAAAACATGGCCTTAAAATTGTTTCGGCACTTCAAAATTACCCTTGATTTACACGAAGTACTTACTGATTTTCGTTAATGTATGAGTAGATCTAAGTGGGGTTTTTTTTTCATGCCCCCGTCGACACAAGTAAAATTATTTAGGATGCAGGCTTCCGACCTTGTCTGTTAGGGCCAACCCGGGCTGAGCGGGATATAACATCCCAGCAGAAAGACATACTCGATATATATAGAACTATAATGTTACGATTGTGTAATATTACGATATATAATATTACGTATTATGTTCTCCCCGCGAAGGTTTCCTGCGTGCGACAGCTAAGCGCCTTCGCGCAACACCCCAGACTTCAGTGTACTCATCACAAATTGTTATAGATTTATTATTATATCTGATCTATAAAGGAATAAAAGATGATCCCTTGTCTAAGACAACTACACTTAATAAGAGCCGAAGCTGGTACCAGTTTGCCGCATCATAAAAAAATACAAAATCATGAATGCAGAGTTGATAAACTGTTGCCTGGTATTCCGTTGTTTATGATTATGGCTCATTAATTAGGAAGGTTTCTTAACCCAAATCAGCTTTCCTATCCCACTTCCATTCACCCCCCCAGCAAACGAGCACAAATTGTGCACACGTACTGGTACACTAACCGACTACGTCTGTGCAAGATGTGAATGATTGTGTTCACGCTGACATTGTTATGAGCTCAAAATGTCAGAGGTCAGCATCCACACAATATAATGCATGAACGAAAGGCCAAGGTTTCCCATGTGTGGGACCACGAAGTGCATCTTCAGGACATGGGGTGCACACACTGTGCCATTTGTTTATGCCGAAAGTCGAGCCGGGACGTCCTTCGACCTAGAAATTCGCTGAGGGATACACAATCTCAAAACGATTTCGATATCAGAATGCACCCTTCAAACTTGGCAGCTGCTGGGGAAGTTGTTCTGTGTGGACCTCGCAAAAGTCTCATGCCATAAGGAATTTTTCTATCGACATCCACACAAAGCTGAAAGCTAGAGGGTCAAAATGACTTTGTGTGAGATATTATAGCCAAACGCCCAACCCTGAGACCTGCGCGTTTTCTTTTCCTCAAATGGCCAATTAGCTCGTACCTATTTGTGTATAAGATCTATGTGTGCAGGCTCGCATGTTTTGCATGTCCATAATATTTTATGTAACATGCTTCTTTCGATAATAGACAGATTTTTGTGGTTCCGTTTGGAAATGCTATACATATGATAGCCACGTTGTTATAAAAGTAAAACCCGACCTCTTTGGTAAAATCAAGGCGTACGTAGCGAAAGATGTTTCAAATGAAGCAATGTTGCCGTTAATTGTCACCACCTCTATCGTGCATACCTTCAGATGAATGGGGATTTTTTCTGAGCCCCTCTGTCTCTCTCTCTGTCTGTCTGTCTGTCTGTCTGTCTGTCTGTCTGTCTGTCTGTCTGTCTCTTAAAGA